TTCTTGAATCTATACTATTTGACTTCAAGTTACACTCTTCCAAAGTATGAATATCTCTTACAATAATTGGGATAATTATGCTTATAATGATTATCAGTATTCTAAAAATAAATAGTAAATAAGTTATAAGTAATATATAGTTTTACTTAAGTAATAAAGCAGATTTCTTTTATTTGACATAATTCAAATGAAAAGTTTGTTTATAAGTGACTATAAAGAACCATTGTTAAAGAATAAACCTAACCCATATAAAGTAGTAAATCCCAACCCAATTGCTAGTAATTCCTAACATAGTGTAGAATACTGCACTGTTAGAAGAATTAGAATAATAGTTTTAATATAGTGTAGACTATTCAGAATAAGCTAGACCTGAATTGAAATCACTTAAAAGCTGTTTAAATATTACACAAAGCCAATCTTTAATTAGCAACAGACTTGCTAAATTAGTACCTCTCAGTATATAAAGATAATTATTAACATTAATCAGTTTCGTTAACATTATAAATATAAATACTTATTTATAAATATTTATCTCTAGATACTTCTTTACAATTAATTATCTAATATCTCAAATAGTCTATTTATTTTTAAATACTTATTTACAATTAGTTATCTAATACCTTTCAAATAATAGATAATATAAATAATTTATTAATATTAATCAGTTTTATTAATATTATGAACATAAATACTTATTTATAACTAATATTGAATTTAATCTATATAAATAAACTAGGGCTCTGCAAATGCCCATGCCGGGCAGATTGGCACTATGCCAGGCACTAGTGCCTCATGCCATGCCCATACCTATAGGCTCAAAAGTGTCAGGAATTATTATAGGCATGGGCACAAATGCCAGGCATTTTTATAATCATAGGCACAAATGCCAGGTACTTTATAGGCATAGGCACAATATGCTAGGCAAAAAGATGCCAAAAAGTGTCAGGCACAAGTGCCAAATAGTACCAAACATATAATTAATCAATAAATACTAAATTTTTGTGCTTATACCCATGCCCATGCCAAGTTTTCATATCTGTGCCTATGCCTATGCCAAATTTTTGTGGCTGTGCCCATGCTTATGCCAAATTTTTATATTAGTGTTCATGCCCATGCCAAAGCTTTCATGTCCATGCCCATGCCTGAATTTTTGTTGGGCATAGGCACGAGCCCGGTTTGCAGACCCCTAAAATAAACCAATTAGATAACATTATCTATTACTTTATTGAATAAAGAATTTTTATTGCTTGACTATATAAAAAAAAGAATTTCAGTTTCTACTTTGTTAATGCAGACAGAATATGAAAACTAATTATATAAATTTATATGGCCTTACATATTATATAATTAAAATTACATTTCTATATAAATCTATTTACCAAATTTTATAAAAAATTATACAAAATTATATAATATTACAGTAATTTCACAACCCTATATGCAAATCTGATTCAAGTTTTAAATCTATAAACACTTCTAACCTATAGCACTACATTTATTACTTTCTCGTTTTTGTTTTGTATAACAACATTGCATAGCTACTTATTATTATTATTAACAGATATCAAGTTATATTGAATAAGTACCTTTTTCACAATAGTGTGAATTATAAAATAATAACTTAAAAACTATATGAAGTATAGTAATTAATATAATACAAAATAAGTAGATTAATTTTTTATCTAAAATAAGTTTGTTATAAGTATATACTATATTATTGCATTAGGTTTTTAATAAATAATTATAAAAAATATAACTAACTATAAAAAAGAACAAGTATAAAAATTGTTTACATATACCTAATAACAAAACTAAACTAATAATGATAACTAATACTAATCTAACTAAAATTCATTTTATGTTATAATTATATGACAACAGGATTATTTATAATGAGTTCTAAAGAATTTTGTATTATTTAATAGAAGGAAGTAGTTTATATAATAAAATTGTCAAAAAACTTTTTTAAAAATACTAAAAGTAATTACTTATACTAATTTTTAACAAAATAAAAGTTTTTTTAAAATTTTTTGATGATGTTAAATTTTCATTTGATCTTGAAATCTGATCATAGTTCTAAAAATATGTGCTATAAGTTCAGCACATATTTAAGAAAAATTTTGTTTATCTGACATACATCTCATATTGCAAATATGTGCATAACAATTATGTAATTGCATTACATATTTAAAATATTACTTTTATTTTTATAGGTTACTCAAGGACCCTGAAATATCTATATATAAGTTGGGTTTTAGTTTGCTTATTTTTGATCTTTTTCTGCAAATCATTTTCTTTTATAGTAATTAGTTTATTTTTGACTTTTGTTGCAAATTCTTCTATTTTTAGTTTTTGTAAAATCTTACCTATCTGTAGAAATTTCAGGGTCCTGTTACTCAGCACGCCATCTTAGAGAAATATGCATGTCACCTGTTATCCCCGTTGGTTCATTATTATATTGCTTTTTTATTATATAAATAGATAGCAAATGTACCTTTTTATAAAATATGATTGGTCAAATTTATTCAATATTGCTAACTTTATTTATATTCTGGTCATGACTAGAACCAAGATTGCAAACTCTGAATTATGATTACAAAAACGACTACAGTATGAAATAAACAATTGAATGCGCGAGAATTATCTAGTAATATATGCACGTATAATTAATCAGCATTCGTACTGTAATACGCATGCTCGTACAAATTAGGGAAAATCAAGATATAGCCTGTACACATAGATAGTTAAGCCACATAAGCAAATTAGAAAAAAATCAAGTTGCACATATGTCGCGATTTATACAAAGTAACTACTTTATATATCTAAAGCAACGCCCTGACTAAAATTATAACTTAATGCATGCATGAAGATCTAATTAAAGGAGCTTAATTTTAGCCAGGCGCTACTTTAGATAATCGCTACTTTAGATGCAACATATACGTAACGAAAAAGTCCCATACGCAATTTCTATTACATAACTATAGATAATCTCGTATCTATAATAAATAAGCAAAAACAAGACATAACTTGCATTTGTTATATTTCATCAAATCTATTTTAAACACATTAGTTTTTTTTTATAGAAATCATTAGATGTAGAGTATACGATAGACAAAACCGGTAAGATCAGGAATCAATCAATTAGAAAACGAGGAATGACTTTAAACATGATATACTTGCTCAAAATTTTCCTTTACAAAACGAAATGCTGGATTTGCTGAATATAGGCTGCTTGCAATTGAATTTTCGGTTAACGACACTTTTAGGACTCTTGGGTGGGGTGATAAAATTAAACGAACATATAGAATGAATAAATATGAAACAATTTGATTGGTCAATGTATATCAGGAGAGTTATCCAGCGTCTTGATTGGTTGTTCATTTCCTTCATCTGGGGGTGTGACGTTAACCGAAGAATCAACTTCGAACAACCATAGTAAGGTTTTTTAATTTTTCATGATTATAAAAATATATATAAAGATAATCACTAGTAATATAATTTCTTGTTAAAATAATATATTTAAAATACATTTAGCATTTCAAAATGATTCCAAATCGGTTTATTAACACCCATGTTATAATAATGTTGTTTAAAGAAGGACTTAATAATGCTTATGGTTATTATAACCAACGGCAAAGAAAAATTTAATCAAGTATGCGCATATATATATATAATGACAAACAAATAAAAGTTCTATGTAGAATGCAGACCGGGGTAAGCAGCCACCCAAAAAATTTTCGGGTATCATGTGACAAATATATCGATCACTAAAAATTCATGTAAAAAATTATTTCTCACCGATTTAAACCTTGCGATAATAAATAATACGATTAATTTATTACTTATCGTTTAAAATTTTTTGGTTGTATTTTTTTGTTAAGCTACATGAATTTTTAGTGCTCGATATATTTGTTACATGACATTTGAAACCTTTTTGGGTGGCGAATTTACCCCAATCTCAAATTGGCCCATTATTGTTAATGCAGGCAGATGATATTTAATGCAGGCAGATGATATTTAATGCAGGCGGATGATATGCTAATCCAGGCCAAATAATCTCATTAAAATCCCGCGCGTGGCCATCTCTAATTACGGTATATAATATTTACGGCAATTGGATACGTACTATGCCGTAATTAATTCTACCACATCAGATATGGTAAAATACCGTAATGCCGTAATTCAATAATTCTACCACCAACTATAGTGCTATGTAAAGCAAACGCCTTAATCAAGAACGTTACTTTTGCGTATAATATATGAGTTAATGATCGGTAATTCAATAATTCTACAAGCGATTTACAATTCCACAAGTGCTGAATTGTAGAATTAATTCCCCCATCCTTAGTCATGACATAAATTTGATTTTGTCACCACAGAAAATCACTGTCCCTGGCTCTAGAGTATAGGGACGATTCCTATTCATGTGATTTTTTTCTGCATAGATTAGCCAATTAAAAATTAGAATCAGACTGATTGATTTGCAATTTGAAGATCATTTTTAAAAATAAGCAATAAATAATTTCCAATTCTTCAACATATTTTTTGACTTTTAGATAAATAAAATTTGCGCATCTATTATTTGTAAAAATTTTATTCTTTTTTATAGAAATAAAAGTTGCATATTCATCGGTTTTTAATATATTTGCAGAAATAGGAATTGCGTATTAAAACATTCAAATTTTTACAGATGATAAATGCGCAAATTTTGTGTCAAAAAAATGAAGAAACTGAAATCAGTAATCGGAAATTAGTTATTACTTTTGCAAACCGCAATAATTTTGAAAATATATAAAATGTAATTTTGTCTGATATATAGAAAATAAAATTTTGATTAACTATCAATTGGATTGTACTTTGTTATTTATTAAGTAAATAATCGTATTTATTTAAAAATGACCTAACAAATACAAGCGGGTACTTTCTCCGAACCTAAATATTCTTAGATCTTGTGCAACAAAACTAACTACAACATAGCGCAACATTTATCTTCGTGGGCATTACTTTCCGGTGGGATTGAGTTCTTTGTTATCAAACTCTACACCATAAAGAAGATATAAAACCTTTTCTTCTTCCGTACGTGTAAAGCGAACATTTACTAGTTCTAATTTCCAGTTATTCATACTTACAAGACCGAAGAAACAAATAAAAGGGCAAACCAAGTAAAAAAGCCATGTTTTTTTACCTTCTTTAATAAAGCGTTCTTTTGCAACTTGGAGCACGAGACCAACAGTTGCACAAAATATTAGCCCAACAATACCAATAGTAATGAGAACCAAATCCACAATAGTTCCATTAGATTGTTTAGTAACAAAATTCAAAAAATCATATCCTGCAATAATAAAAAGAACGATACAACCACCAAACAACCAGATAGATTGATTCATTTCCAAGCCTCTTAGTCTTCGACTCGTTTCTTTTAGTTCTCTAATCATGTCATACACTTTATCTCTTAAGTTGGATTGCACAATCAGTGTAGCAGATTCTGCAAGATCGAAATTGGAGCTTTTATCATTTTCTCCACCTTTTTCAATGCCAGAATTCGGATTGGAAGCAAAAATTGTTTTAAAAGTCGCAATAGCACCACCTCCAGAAACAAGAAAGCTACCAGCAGACACGGAAAGGCTTACAACATAATTTAAATCCACAACATTTTCTTTTAAAAATAACATGACATAACCAATAAGTATACATAAAGTGCTTAAACAGGCCGTAAATAAGTCTAACTTCCAGACTGCATCCGAAAGTTCAAGAGCTCGAGCATAATTGTTTTTTAAAGTAATTAGAGCCATCTGAACTTCTCTCGTTACTTTATCAACTTTCTCTTTCTTATTACTCGATCCTTCACCAATTTCAGTCATAACTTTTTTTCCTTGGTCACCTTCTTTCATCTTGAACTTTTTGAACTAAATTGGAATTTTCTATAAAGAGCTTGATTTACTTGCAATCAAATTTTATAAAAGCTGATTGTTTTTAAAATTTAAAATCTTATTAGATTTCGAAATTCAAATTTTCACGTCAATGTATGTATTTATATACTAGGAGCAGAATTACATTATGCAAAACATAATGTCGCATAATGTAATGTAAACATTTTAAATTTTAAAACTGCATATAAAAATTACTATATAATTTTAATGTAACAAAAATCAATAAAATATCAGTTAGTGATTTTTTAACTGTATAAAGCAGGTTAATTGTTTGAATCTTGCTTCTTGATTTTAGTGGAGCACCATGAATGCATAATGTCACATGCTGCATTATGCAATGCAGAGCCAAAAAAAATATGCACACATCTCTATCTCTAGTTTACAGGCAAGTAAAGTATCTCCGATTAGATAGTCTATCCAGTGACTTCATCTTGGAATTTATTAGGAACAGGCTTTTCCGTCTATAAGCAACTTGATTTTCTCTAATTTGCCTATGAGGCTTCTGTCTTGATTTTCCCTAATTTGTACGAGCATGCGTATTACTGTACGAATGCTTATTTAATATTACTATATATATATTTATTATTATAAATTCTCATGCAAACGATTCTAATTGTTTATTTCATACTGTAGCCATAATCGAGTTCATGACCAGAATTTAAATAAAGTTAGAAATATATTATATACAGTTTAACTAGAGATGGGAAAATCGAGGTTTTTTTGAAACTACTGCGCAGGCTGCGCAGCCTGCGCAGCCTGCACAGCCTGCACAGCCTGCACAGCCTACACAACCTCAGTCCCTAGAGACTTTTACTCATTAGGTTTCGCGTTTATATAT